TTGCTCTGTTCCTATTGTTGATTGTTTCCATATGTTCCAACATCTCTTCCATATGCCCATGAATAACATTTTCCATATGCTCAAATGGGTTAGTGGATTTGTTTTCCTGCAGAACTCCAAATTTCTGTTTCATTCTGAATTGGTTATTCTCCAGGCTCACTGACAATTGACACCTCTTAACTGTCATCCTAGGATACCCCTTCAGTACCCTCCTGGGTTGGACTCCTTTTTGGCCAAATCCCATATCTTCCTTTTGTTTGGTTTCACCCTTTATATTCTGAAATACAGTCTTCAGTATCTGTAGGTAGGAAGTAAATTTTTTGAGACTTTATATATCTGAATATGTCTTTATTCTACACTTGATTGATACTTTGGTTGGGTATAAAAGTTTAATTTACAAATAAACTTTATTCATAATTTTGAAAGCATTGTTCCATTAAGATCTAGCATCCATTATTGCTTTTTAGAGGTCTTGACACTATTCTTTTTTCTGATCTTTTGTATTTTATATGTTACTATTTTGGAGGAGAAATTTTTGGAATCTTCTTTGTCCATGATTTTCTGAAATTTCACAGTGATGTTCCTTGGTATGGGTATTTTTCATATTTGTTGTACCCTATACCTAATGGGCTTTCAATTTGGAATTTCATGTTCTAGAAAGTTTCCTTCAGGCAACACAAGTTTGTCATATATGTTTTTTTTTTTAATTTTATTTTGTCACATATTATTTCTATGATGACTCCTTTTTAGAGACAAGGGTCTCACTTTGTCATTCATGCTAGAGTGCAGTGGTGCAATCACAGCTCACTGCAACTTTGAACTCCTGGGCTCAAGAGGTCCTGCTGTCTCAGCCTCCCAAGTGGCTAGTTTTGTTGTTGTTGTTGTTTGGTTTGGTTTTGGTTTTTTTGAGATGGAGTCTCACTCTGTCGCCCAGGCTGGAGTGCAGTGGCACGATCTTGGCTCACTGGGCTCACTGCAACCTCTGACTCCTGGCTTCAAGGGATTCTCCTGCCTCACCCTCCTGAGTAGTTGGGATTACAGACATGTGCCACCAAGCCCTACTATATTTTGTACTTTTAATAGAGACAGGATTTCACCATGTTGGTCAGGCTGGTCTCAAACTTCTGACCTCATGATCCATCCACCTCGGCCTCCCAAAGTGGCATTACAGGTGTGAGCCACTGTGTGCTGGCCTTTTTTTTTTGTAACTAAGAAGGCTGGTCTCAAACTCCTGGCCTCAAGCAGTCCTCCCACCTTGGCCCCACAAAGCCCTAGGATTACAGGTATGAGACACCATGCCAAGACCCTACTGTTTTATGTGACCTTTTATTCTATAATACCATTTATTGGAAAACTGAATCTCTTGGGTTGATTCTCTGATTTTCTCACTTTTTTTTTTTTTCATTTTTCATCTCTTTCTGGGAGATTGGCTCTACTTTATCTTCAAGCCTTCCTTGTATATTTTTATCCCACCTTTCTTATTTGTTTTAATGCTTAACTGTTTTTCCCATTTTTATAGCATCTTGTTCTTATTTCATGGCTGCAAAATCTTCCCTTATCTCTCTGCGGATATTAATTGTCATTATTTTGAGGTACTGTCCCACTTTTCTCTAGGTTCATTTTTCTTTTTGGTATTTATTTGCTCCTGTGTTGGAGACTTTCCTTAGATGTCTGATGAACCTTAGCTATTCATTCTTATTGAAGAGAGATACACTAAAACATTGATGAGTGGGGTTTGTTGATTAGTGTACTTCATGGTAGGTGATAGGATAACAAGCTGGATTTTTTTACTATGGAAATCCCAAATGTCACTCTTTGATGGTATTTCTTTTAGGCCACTCCATTTTCCTGAGGAAGAATTCAGTAGTCTCCTGCCTGCTATATATAAGCATGGAATAGGGGCAGGAAATGGAGGCAAGCCTCAGCCTCTGCCCTCTCTCCCCTGACCCAGTCTTGATCCTCTTGATCTCTTCAGACAATAGATCTCCAGTTGGCTACTAGGACAGGCAAGGCAAAAGGAAGCAGTAATGGGATAGCTGCTTGGCTACCAGGGTAGGAGATATCACCTAGTGGAGGATGGGGGTAGCTAGTCGTTCTAAATATAAACTTTCAGCCAATCTCTTTCTTTTTAACCCTTTACTCTCTGTAGTACTTTGTGCCTCCAAGTACTGGAACCTTCTCAGAGTTCAACAGGTCAAAGACTCACTTATTGTTAGCTTTCACCCCTTCAGAAACCCAGATGCTAGCTTTCTGTCTCTGCCAAGTCACTTCTATCCAGCTCCAGCCACTGTCCATTTTCCAAAATGTTGTTGAAATCACTGCATTACTGTTGTTCTCTCTCCTGGTTTCTTGGGTTTTACATAGATCCGCTCAATAGGTCCTTTTCAACGTCCTTTATTTTCAGTTTACTGGCATTTTGAGGTTCATTTGCCATGTTTAACCAGGAGAATCATTCTTAAGTAATGGAATTCTTGATAGTTTAAGGAATTGGAAAATATGCCCCAGTTGCTTCCCTTAAAAGCAACATTTTTAGGGGAGTTTGATTCTTCAGACTACATATTTTAAGTTGCTACATTTTATATAAAGAAATGGCATTGCCTAACAACTGTCAAAGTCACACAGTGTTGGAACTGGTTTCCAGAAATGCTTAGTGTCTTGGCCAGATTCTTCACATCTTCCTACCCAGTCTCCCTGAGGGTAAACAGCAGCATTAACAAAGCAGTTGACTAAATTTAAGAATTTTCAGCCGGGCGCGGTGGTGCGTGCCTATAGTCCCAGCTACTCGGGAGGCTGAGGTGGGAGGATCACTTGAGCCCAGGAGTTCTGGGCTGTAGTGCGCTATGCCAATCGGGTGTCCTCACTGAGTTCAGCATCAATATGGTGACCTCCCAGGAGCGGGGGACCACCAGGTTGCCTAAGGAGGGGTGGATCGGCCCAGGTCAGAAACGGAGTAGGTCAAAATTCCCATGCTGATCAGTAGTGGGATCGTGCCTGTGAATAGCCACTGCACTCCAGCCTGGGCAACATAGCGAGACCCCATCTCAAAAAAAAAAAAAAAAGAATTTTCAGTACTATGGATTTGGATTTCTCCATAAAGTCATCTCACCTCTATGCAAATTGACCCCATAAAATTGGCCTTTTCATTGGCACCCTACCACAGCCAGCTAAAGTAACTAGTTCCAAAAACCAAAGATTATATTGTATTTCCTTTAGGATGATGTAAGAATTTGAGCCTAACATTTAAACCTGAGGCAATATCATGGCTAAAGCAGTTCATCAAGTGTGTTTCTTTTTTCCTATGCATGATTCAGAATTACATTTTATTTTTTCTTCAAGAATAAAAGAGTCCATATTCTTACAGTTGAGCTCATTTGTAGATTTAATTGATGTCACCATTTAGCTAATTGGCTTTGTAAACCTAGCACAAATACAACCAGTACTGAACATATTCCTCGAGAACACCTTCATATACTAAATAAAAAAATGTAACAGGTTTCTAAATATGCTTCCCCAAAACCTTGATACTGGTGGATATAATGTAGTATGGTTTAAGGGAACTGCTAATCATATCCTGGCCTTTGCCTTAGGGACATGAGCTGAATGTTGGCCTGGTTTGTAATTGTACTCTTATGGCCATCTGGCAGCTTCTGTGACATATTAGTGGCCTTGGCACAGTTTCTAATTGGCATGTACCAGCATCAAATTGGCATGTATCTACATCCACAAGACAGTTTAACTTTCTAAATAAGAGAGGCCATATCTCTCTTTTCTTTAGCTATGATGCAATAGCTCTTTGTGGGTTTTTTGTTTTATCTGAGAGGAAGCTAAAATTTTAAGATTTCCCATGTCACTTTAATCCCGAACTTTAAAAATCCATTTCTGTAATAACTAAAAGAGAATCTTGAAACTGCTGGTCTTTGGCCCCATGTCTTGAATAAATTATGTAGCATTATATCTTTCTCTCTGACTTCAGGCCGTAGACATTCTCAATCTGCAGGCTGTCTGCAAGTTTTCATAGAAAGATTCATCTGTAATCATTTTAACAGAGCCAGTGGAGACAAGATTGCTTTAGTTAGTAGCTTATCAGTTTAAACTGAGTCTTCTCTGGTTGGAATGGAAAGTTAATCAAGGAAAACTCAGAATAAGTTTTCACTTACATTTTATATCTTACTTGGCAACTTGTTTGACAGTGTTGCATAAAAGGTCCAGCACAGGAAACATTTTCTACTCCTGCTTATGATTAATAAATATGGAATCTGGGGCATTCTATTTTATAAATCAAGGTCTTAGTCCAAATTTCCTGTTTTTCTACATTAGAAAAAAAAAAAAAAAACCTCAGTGTAAAAATAGCGCTAAACTGTATAGGGTACTCAGGGGTCAAGGCAACAGGCAAAATAGATTACTCCAGATATTATGGTGCTGAGACCGGTATCAGACTATTAGCAGAGACATTCATTTTATAGTCATTTAAAGGCATTTGCTGCAGCTGGTTTAAAAAACATAAGTAAATATATCCTACTTTGGATTTTCTATGCTTATTGAAAAGAGGAAAGGAATGGGTAATAGAAAACAATAACCAGTGACTTGGAAATGTAGGCTCACACACAGCTGGTTCATGGAAAACCCTAGTCACTCTAGTCAAAGACTGTCTTACCACATCTTAAGTTTAATCACATCAATTTCTGCCTGTATTACACAAACCCAGTACCCTGCCCTTCCACACCAACCACACATATACACTCACTCACACATTTGATGTTCATTCAAAGATTTTCCAGTCTTAAGTCATCTGCACTTTCTGACTTTCTCAAATTCTCTCAGCCCAACCACTGTGTAATAACCTACAGTAAGTCTTCCAGCATCTCTCTTTCTGTAGAATGTTACCAAGATACTCTGAAGAATACATGCATGGTAGAAAGTACTTTGGGGTTCACATCATGAATTGACATACCACTTTATCATGCAAAGATTAAAATTTTCTCACTTGTATTTCTTAATAGCCTAAAGAATGTTTTTTGATACAACCAAAGGAAAGAAAAGACAATACCACCAAGACCAGGAAGAGGAGAAAGGTAATATTAATAATTTATCACATTTTTATATATTATATATCATACTTTCATGAGGCAACTACTGTAATCCCCACCTAAGAGATGCAGACATTGTAAGAGTCCTTGGGGTTTGGTGACTTTCTGAAGGTCACTAGTAATAAGTGTTTCTGTTGGAGCTAAGAATAAATTCTTCTGACTCCTCTTTCATTTTGTGGAGTACCAAATATCTTTGTTACCCACCCTATGTTTTCAGTGTGGTCAGATGTCAGATACAGGTTTCTAATTCTAGAAGGAGTCCACAGCTATCCTCCCCCAGCCCTTCAGGCTCTGTCCAAGAAAAGAAAAATACCAACCTCCTTTTACTACTCATTCCAGATTTTAAGACCTTAAAGTATGAATAAAAAGAAAATAATAAGCAGATAAAGGCAGTATGGGGGCATTTCTGACTAATTTGGAACCATAAATTAAGGCAAACCCCCCCCCCACCCCTTATATTTTGATGTTTGCCTGTGAGCATAGGAAAGACTCTTTCTCCTATACAAACTTTTTTATGGCTCAGCCTTGGAGAAAGTATGGTTAGCTGTGACCTTCTCCCACAGTTGTGAAAACAGCAGTGTAATTCTCTCCCGGTCAAGAGGGGTCTACTGCTGAAGTCAGCCGAGGAAATACGATTGGGATTAGAGGAAAGAAGATGGACTCAACCCAATTACTTAACAGCAAGCTTTTAGAAGACTGAGAATGTGTGTGCATATGTTTTCTTTTCTTACAAATGGCCAAATAGGAAGATTGGAGATGCCAAATTGGCTGAGGTTTGGCAAGTCCTTAAAGAAGTGACTTTACTTCTCTTTGATAGTTTGTACACTAATGGCCTTCAGGAGTGTTAAGTTCTTGGTGGCTCAGGGTCAAAACTCTAGCTAGATAGCTTAGCCTTGACTGAGGTCACGCTAAAATGTGCCCACTGATGACATATTTTTAAAAGTTAATTCCCTTGACAGCACCTTGACCATTCTTGGCAGGTGTATAAAAACGGGGATATTGTGGAAGGAGTGGGAAAAGCTGGAGTCAGCAGTGGGAAACGCTCCTTCTGAATCTTTGGTGGACCATTAGAAGGAATTGAGAAGGGAAGCTTATGATGGAAATAAATGAATGACTGTGTGTTTCTAGTACACTACTGCAGGCATTCAATACATGCTACACAAATGAGTCAAAATCAAAATAGATCTTGCCATTTCCTGTAATATTTTTTCTACTTTCCATAGGGCGACTTTAATATGATCAGTTATCCACATTTACATGTGGCTAACGCCCAAAGCTATGTGCAGTTTAAATGCCAGAGGAACTAACCTATTCCAAGCCAAATGCCATTTTAAAATATGTCTTCCCATTTTTCTTCCTTCTCGTATCTTAGAAGAAAATCACTGATGTTCTTGCAAAATCAGAACCAAAGCCAGGGGTACCTGAAGACCTACAGAAGCTGATGAAGGACTATTATAGCAGCAGTCGCTCAGTGATTGAATTGGAAGAACTGAACCTACCAGGTACAGCCAAGCTTCCGTTTTCCTCATGAGGAGGAGCAAAACATAACTATCTATTATGGTTAGGTGTCTCAGGCAGTCAATGAACATATTTTCCAGCGGGCGCGGTGGCTCATCCCTATAATCCCAGCACTTTGGGAGGCCGAGGCTAGAGGACTGCCTGAGCCCAGGTGTTTGAAGCCAGCCTGGGCAATATAGTGAGACCTCATCTCTTTTAAAAATAATAATAATAATTAAAGAAACAAATTTCCGGCTAGGCACACTGGCTCATGTCTGTAATCCCAGAACTTTGTGAGGCTTAGGCAGGTGGACCACTTGAGGTCAAGGGTCCGAGACCAGCCTGGCAAACATAGTAAAACCCTGTCTCTACTAAAAATACAAAAATTAGCTGGGCATGGTGGCATGTGCCTGTAATCCCAGCTACTTAGGAGGCTGAGGCAGAAGAATCACTTGAACCCGGGAGGCGGAGGTTGCAGTGAGCCGAGATCATGCCATTGCACTCCAGCCTGGAGGACAAAGCAAGACTCCGGCTCAAAAAAAAAAAAAAAAAAAAAGAAACATAATACTTCTTTCCTCAATCTAATAGTTTTAACTGATAGATTATATCCTTATTACATGCGAAACAGTATTTGGCAAATCTAATACTAAGATTTGTGATTGTATTTTTTTATTCAAAAGGCTAATTGTTGGGTGTGTATTTTTTTTAATGAGTAGGAATTCATCATGAGGACAGAAGTTAAAGTACACATTTAAAATTATAGATATGAAATACTTGTAAGAATTATTGCCGAGTTTAAAATGAGGAAACTGAGGCCAGTATAAGAAAATTAAATGCCAGTTTATTCAGCTCCCAGGCGAGGTTCTATGGTCCGGGAAAGGGGCCAGAAAAGTCGCGCTGACTTCCTGGGGCTGGGGTTTTTAGGGCTATGAGTAAGGAGCAACAGCTGGGTGCTCTGATTGGCTCCAGGGGAGAGGGATTGGGACGGGGCAGGCCACTATTGGTTGTTGGGTTGTCGGGCGGGTTTTTCTAATACAAGAGCTGGCCAGGCGGGGCCTTCCAGGGTAACCACGAGCAGAGCTAGGTGCCAAGTGTAGAGTCGGGTGCCGGGAGGAGAGACCAGTGCCAAGTGCAGAGGTGGGTGCCAGGTACAGAGTCAGGTGCCGAGTGCAGAATGGGTGGGTGTGTCCGGTCTCCTGGCGAGGCAACCAGCCTTACAACACTGCTTTGCTCAACTCCTATAGGCAAGAACTTTAGCCTTAATAAGCAATTTAGTTTTGTTGTTGTTCTTATCACGGATTTCTAGTCATGGTTTTTAGATAGTATTTTGGGTTGCAGGCCAGACTCTTTCAAGCAAACTATCTAAACCTAGGAATAAAATTCTGCATGTTTTGCGAGGCTGATGCTTTGCCTCAAGGGATTCTTAAGCCTACTAGAATTTTAGATCTACTGCCTTAGTGTGTTTATAATTAAGCTAAAAGATATTGCAAAATGTAAACAACTAACTTTTTAAAAATATTTGCTTATTTATTTTAGAGACAGGGTCTTGCTGTGTTACCCAAGCTGGAGTGCAGTGGCACCATCATAGCTCACTGCAGCCTCAAACTCCAGGGCTCAAGAAGATCCTCCCACCTCAGCCTCCATAGTATCTGGGACTATAGTCACGTGCCACCACACCCAGCTTAAACAACTAATTTTAATTAATTTCAAAATTAATTAAATTTTGAAATAGATGTTGTCATAAAATCAAACCACATAAAGTTTTGGTACAATTGCTTCAAATGAGCTATTTATAGACTACAGTACTAGGGATATCTAATATTGCTTTTGGAAAAAGTAGAAGGTGGCTTGATTTCCTTTTTCCATTACAACTTTATGCTTTCTAGAAGCTTGAGAAACTGAAAAACAATCTGTTCCCTGAATTTTTTTTTTTTTTTTGAAACGGAGTCTCACTCTGTGACCCAGGCTGGAGTGCAGTGGCACGATCTCAGCTCAATGCAATAGCTGCCACCCAGGTTCAAGAAATTGCCATGCTTCCACCTCCCAAGCAGCCGAGATAACAGGCACCTGCTACCGCGCCCAGCTAATTTTTGTATTTTTAGTAGACATGGGGTTTCACCATCTTGGCCAGGCTGGTCTTGAACTCCTGACCTTGTGATCCACCTGCCTCGGTCTCCCAAAGTACTGGGGTTACAAGCATGTGCCACTGCGCCTGGCCTGTTCCCTGAATTTTTATAATTCTTTTGTGATATCCTTTTTTCAAAAACACACATTGGGTTTGGAGACATGAGTGCCCCATCTGTTTGTTTTCCAAGGAGATTGCCCTTCAGCGAATTGAAGGAGTGCATTTACACATGAGTAGGATCTGGAGTTTTAGACTTACTAAGCGTAGACGGTTCCAATAGCAGTTACAATCTAGTCTTCTCAGCACACCACTGCCTCTGCTGTGAAAACTGTGTCCTGACTGCACTATCACAGGAGCTATTCTAACCACTTTTAAAGCTTTAACTGAAGTTTGACTTTTACTGTGGCTCGATGGTCAGTTTTGCATTCTAGTTCTTTGTTAGAGCATAACTTGAACTTAGGATTTGTGAGTAACAGGACCACTGCTGTTCTGTAACCTCATGGAACGTCGTAAACCTTGCTCCTCTCTGGAGTTAGAGAGTCAAAGCTCGGAAGAAACTTTCAAGGAGTCATTTGAGTTCCATAGTGAATTTGTCTGATATTACTGTTTTATTGGAGTTCAGTAATGTAGTTAGGCAAGAATGTGGGATCATGGGTTCGTTTGGGGAGGAAGGAAAATATGTGTGAAATAACGTTATAACCAAAAAGGACAGGTTTTTATTTTTAGTTAAAAAATTAGGCCATTTAAGACACAATAAACTGAGACATCAGAGGAAGATTTGGTAGAACGGGTCCTGGTCACTTCACTGATGAGACCAACGACAAAGAGATATAAGCTGGGGAGGGAAAGGAGATACAGTAGGTTATTTGGAATACACTCCAGGAGGGGCATAAATCACCTTGTATATATACATATAAGGTAGATATAAATAACAACATATTGTTCCTATTTAGTTTGTCAAGCCTTTGACTTGGTTTTGATTTGAGGTTGTTTGTGTCTGTGGGGCAGGAACATGTCTGTTCAATTAATATTGTGCACATTGTTAATGTCATACACATGGGCACTTAATTAGGGTTTCAAGGCTGGCATCTCCCGGAGCTAATTAACCTCTCTGCTGTCTCCTGAGAGCTGCAGTGCAGTTGATTAGTGATTCCTACATGCCTATAGGCTAGCTGCAACGGAGTCACCCAGGAACTTTTTAAAAATCAGATTCCCAGGCTCTTCCCCCAAGAGATTCTAATTCACTTTGCAAAAGAGACTCCAACCCGGGAATCTGTATCTTCAGTTCTCCAGGTGAGTCTGATCATATCCAGGCTTGGGACATTGTAGTTTTAAAGACCACCAAAGGCTCCACAACAATATAGGAGAAAACAGCTTTGAATTACTCACTTAATGGCTTCTATGTGCTGGGTCACAACATAAATTTCATTTTGCTCAGTCAAGGCCCCTATTTTATTTTACCGTGTTATATTGTCTTTTCTTGTATTTTTCTGTTGTGTTGTATTTAGAGACATGATTCCCATTCTTCCCTAATCCAAACTCTGTTTTCCTTTCCTTATAGGCATTCACTCTAATATGATAGGTATTTTAAAATATATATATATATTCTTATAAAATATGTCATGCTGTGTATGTATATACATATTAAATTGTATCTAAATGGCTTTGTGCTAAGGCTTTTATTCTGTTTCTTTCTTCACTTGACACTTTTTCCAGATGTGACTATGTAGTTTTATGCATATCTAGTTCATTACTTCTAAATGCAACACGATATTCCAGTATTTCCATCTATCACATTTACTCATCCACTCTCCCAGATGTGGACACCTGGGTTGCTTTCAGCACCCTAGTATCACAAATAATGCCAGAATGACTATCCTTGTGTGTGTACCTTAACAGACCACACAAGAATTTCTTTCCTTTATTTTACTTGAAATGAAATCATGGGATTATAAACAGATTAATATTCCTACTTTCCAGAATAACTATACCAGTTTCTACTTCCACTTACAGTTCACAAGTTTCCAGCACCCTGCTTTCAAATATCTTGCCAATTGTTGCCATTCTAACAAGTGTGTAAAGTACATTATATTAATTTGCACTTCTCTGATAACTAGTGAGTTTGAATATCTTTACATAGATTTGTTAGCCATTTCATTTTGCATTTGTTATAGTGCCTATTTTATGGATTTGGAAAATATAAGTCCTTCATTAATCTGCTGAGTGATGTAACAATCTCCTATTTCACTGCTCTAACAAATTATGGGCAGCTCTGTGACAAGTTAAAAGTTTACTCGTTGCCGCTGTTATTTTAAATACAGGCAATACTTTAAGATATGTAATGGGCCTCCAATTCACTAATGTTTTACAACCTTATACATCACTCATAACTCACATACCATCTATTTGACTGTGTGTGTGTTTACAAAATTCTCTGTAAAGCATGTTTCTCATATTTCTAGACTCCTGTTTCCTCAAGGCCAATGATTTGACTCACAGTCTTTCCTCATACCTAAAAGAAAGTAAGTAAACTTTGATTTTAATCTACTTAAACTTATTCTTATTTTGCTCTGGCTTTGGGAAATCAGGTTTCGGTCTCGTTTTTATTTATAACACATTAGACCATTATTGCTCCTGGAATCCAGAGAATGGTGTTCTAGTCCCAGGTCCTCCACCAATTTGCTGTTTGACCTGAGACAAGTCACTGAGTACTTCCCTTGACTTAATTTGTTATCTGAAAAACAGGGAAGATGGACTATGTCATATCTGTTCCATCTGTGAAATTCTATTTGCATGTTTAGAACTCAGACCATGGCTAATGTGAAATCAATCTAATTTTATCTATCTTTTGAAAATGTGTTTTTTAGGAGGCTAGAGAGGGACAGGGTCTCACTCTGTCTCCCAGGCTGGAGTGCAGTGGTGTGGTCACAGCTAACTGGAGGCTCAACCTCCTGGGATTGTGCAATCCTCCTGTCTCAACCTCCCAAGTAGCTGGGACTATAGTTGTGCACTACCACAAGCAGCTAATTTTTAAAAATTATTTTTGGTAGAGACGGGTTCTTTCTATGTTGCCCAGGCTGGTCTCAAACTCCTGAGCTCAAGAGATCCACTCGCCCCAGCCTTCCAAAGTGCTGGGATTACAGGCATGAGCTACTGTGTCTGGCCCTTCTATATGTATTATGTGTAGCCAGCAATAACTAAATTATTCATATCAAGTGATCATTTATTTATGGCCAGCAATGAAATCGTTTAGATATAGAAATTTTTTATTCTTCTTTCAAACTGCCAGCAATTCTGATGACACTCAAGTTCATAAACCTTTCTCAGCTTCAAATTCAGAAATGTTAATCTAGGTAATAACAGAATTAACCTCACTAGACTACGAAAATCAAAAAAGAAATGTAAGACCCCAAGATGATAAAAGAATATAAGACCCCAAGATAAAAGAATATAAAAGACCCCAAGATAGCACCGTGTCAGTATTTAATAAATGTTTGCTGTTGTTTAAATCTTTGTTCCATTTTATGTCTTATGTTGAATGTCCCTTTAAAATTTAACATGATTGAATCAGAATTTCTTGTCATTGTCTTCAAGTATCGAACATAAATTAAAATATCAAAAATGTAATATTTCAAAGTTTTTTGCTTAATTTTAAAATCAGTCACATTTAAGGACTTGGCATGTGTGTTTTGTGTTATAAATTAATGATACTTCATTTTAATCTAATATTTACAATAACCAGAAAATGGAATTATAATTGTAATTATAATGAACCATGCTCACTATATTTTATTTTGCTTAAACACTCAACAAAGAAGAAATACTCAACTTGGGAGGTGGGCCTTGTTTCGCTGTATTTTGAATAATTGTTTTGTGGTCTTTTTTCCAGTTTGTCCTAAGTGGGTAAAACTTAGGAGAAACCACACTGAAAAAAAATCGGTCCTGATGCTGATCATCTGCAGCTCGGCCATCCGAGCCCTGGAACTCATTAGGTTGGAAGGTTCACCTATTTCATATCATAAATGTTTCTAAATAACTGTTACGTGCCAAGCTATTTATTATGTTCTATGTGCTGGAGATGTGGCAATGAACAAAACAGAGTCCCTGTCCTCGTGGAATTTACATTTCAGTAGTGAAGACAGTTAATAAACAAATAAAAATACATTGTAGTGTCAGATACATTGATAAGTTACATAAGGAAAAAATAAAGCATGGCAAAGGGATGTAAGTGGATCAGGACTGCTTTTCAAAGGATGGTCACAGAAAGCTTCTCTAAGGAGATGACAGTTTGATCAGAGACTTGAACAAAGTGAAGAAAGCCCAGCAACTATCTGAAAGAAAACCATTCCAGGTAGAGGGGAGAGTAAGCACAGAAGACCCCAAGATCGAATGCCATTATAGGATTTTGAGGAGTTACTTGATTTGAATCATCATTTTAAAGGTTCACTTGGCTGCCATGTGGAGAGCACACATTGTAGACGGCAAGGGTAAAAGCAAGGAGATCATACCCCAAACAACCAGTTAGAAGAAAAGAGCTGACTTAAAACAGTAACAAGAAAAGAGAAGCCAGGCTCATGCCTATAATCGTAGCACTTTGGGAGGCTGAGGTCAGAGGACTGCTTGAGCCCTGGAGTTCGAGACCAGCCCGGGCAACATAATAAGACCCCATCTCCATTATGAATTGAAAAAAAGAAAGAAAAGAAAGAGAGAGAGAGAGAGAGGGAGAGAGAGAGAGGGAGGGAGGGAAGAAAGAAGCAAAAGAAGGAAGGAAGGAAGAAAGAAAAGAAAAAAGAGGAAAGAAAGAAAAGATAGAATACTACGGAATACACTTACCAAAACTTATGTACAGACAACATCATTTAAGGGATGCAGAAAACGTGAACAAACAAAAATGTGTACCATATTCTTGAATAGGAAAACTCAATATTGTAATGATGTGTGTCTTACTTAGGATAGCCTACAGATTTCACAGAATCCTAGTAAAACTCCAATAGAATTGTTTTTTTAAACTGGATAAACTAGTTCTGAATTCTTATAGGAAAATACACAACTAAAAATAGGTAAAGAAATTCTGAAAAAGAATACCAGTGAGAAGATTATATCCCTAGAGGTTACAAATTATATATACATACACACACGCTCTCTCAATAATTAAAACAGTATGGAGCTGGCACATGCATGACAGATCAGATGAGTGGAACAGAATTGAAAGTTCAGGAACAGACCCAAATGCATATGAAAATGGAGCACATGCCTAAGGTGACAAATCAGAAATCAGTAGGGAAAGATGGATTGTTTAATAAATGGTGTTGAAACAACTGAGTAGCCATCTGGAAAAATGAGGTTAGATTCGTATCTTACTTCTTATACCAAGATAAATTCCAAATGGAACAAAAATTTGAATGTAAAGATTATGTTTTAAAGATAATTTGTCAGTGCTTTACTAAGTGCTTTCACCTACCTTTTCATTTACCGTAGTTTTTGTAGAATACACAAGAAGGCTTCCACTGGTGAGTGGTAATATTCAGCTTTCAGAGAAGAGCCGTCAGGGTCAGATGGGATTTGCTCGGAGCAGCTCTCCCTGAGAGCCAGGCTCCAGGCCAGGCTCTGAAAGGAGACAAAACAAAGGAAAATCCAAGTCATGAAGAAAAAGGAACTGGGTCAAATAGACTAAGTACAAATGTAGACTCTCAGCAGTTATTTAGAATGTTTTTCTCTAAATGAATTAATCTAATCATGAGTTTAGAAAAGTAGTTGTTAAACTTTAATAGGTCCTTCAAATCCTCCTTTCTCCACTGAAGTGGAGACACACATTAAATTGTAGCACATACTCTCCCAGTAAAACAAAAGTGTTTCTTTCCATTTTTTCTGCTGTAAACATAATTGATCTTGAAGATTCCAACTGCTTCTGGGCAGCTGTACTTGCTGGTCCTGAAATCGCGGGAATTCACACTGACTTTTCAGTGCTTTAAAAACGACCTCATTTCAGATTCAAAGGCTAAGGGCAAAGAGTTTGGCCTGGAGGTGGACTCTTAAAATAAAGCTATCAAATTGATTTGAGCTTTTGTTGTAGATAAATTCCTTACCGAGGGCATAGAAGTACTGTGTTGTCACACTTCATTGACTAGTTCGCAGTATTTTTCTGCATCCTCGGTAATACTGTGATCCATTTCAAGGTTAGGTGATTTGAAAAGGTGATTTCTGAGTAGGCGCAACAAGCCCTATTCATAAAGACTAATATTTAATAATTCTAACTTTTGTAAGATCTGTTCTCTTGAGAGCCGTGACTTATGTTAAATTGTCTTCCTGGCTAACCCTGCCATGGAGGAAGCTTATGTGTAAGTAAAAATTTGAAGGGAACAGAATTTGTATAGCATGATTCACTATTTTCCAAACTCATATGTTTTTACTGAGCAATGTTTCTCAAATATAATAATGATATATGAAGGAAAGTAGTAAACCCATGTTTAGGTCTATCCTCAAATATCAATTAAAAGATCATTTATACCCACTTCTTCTCAAAACGGAATTTTAGGTGATATATAGAAATACATTCAACAAGTGAAAAGCAGGTTGTGAAAATGGAAGGAAAAAATAAAGAACAAAAAATTACGTGAAGCCAGCTAAAAATGGTGCTCAAAATCATGTCTATAAGGCCCTGTTCAGTTGCAAAGGTGGCCCCGACTGGGGGCCTGCACCTTCCAACAGCCAGGATCTGTTGGGAATCATTATCAGTGGCCAGATTGACGACGTTCTGTGGGTTTTGGGGGAAAACAAAAGTTCCCTGAGAAATACAGCTCTTCCCCCGTGACACAGTGGCAGCAGTATTCTCCTGTCATCTGTACAACAAAAACCCAGGACAGATAATGTTATGTGGCTGTTTATAGAGCAGCTGTTGGTACCAGCTGAGGACCTGAGGAGAAAGGCAGGCATGTCAGGTGCCACCAATGTCGTCTTGACCCTCAGAGCTGGTGGTCTGGATTGATTCAGATAGATCTAGCTTCCTGACTACCTAGAAACTAAATGGCCTGCCTGTCCTGCTGGTGTAAGCCAGAGACTGTAAAGTGACAGCTCAAAGGCACAAGAATTTTGCACCTAAAAATTTTTGGTATGGGTTGTCCATATTTAAAATCAGATTGCACATATAAAAATCTAGATTTCTGGCTTCTCTAAAAATCAAAGGGTCTTAAGCCCATAATCTCACATCATCATAACTGGCAAAGCTGAGCACTGGTTGGGGGACACACACTCTCCAGTGCCCCTCCGTCCTCACACCTGCGTCCCAGATCGCTTCACTCATTCATAATAACCCCCGCCCTCATAGCTTTAATTCAGCCAGTCCATTGTGTCATTGGCTTCTTCTTAGTTTTTTTCCTTCCTCCTTTGCTTCCTCTTTCCCTTCCTTCTTTTCTTACTTCCTCCTTCCCTCCCTCCCTCCCTCCCTTCCTTCCTCCTTCCTTCCTTTCTTTTTGGCCAAAGCTCCATTTCCACATATAAAATTTTATAGAGAAGCTTAGTCTACAAAGTAGATAAAAGGGACAGCTCTGACAGAAGGATAGAAGAGCCCTCCTCCTTCTTCCTTTCGGGCTCATCCCCAGCTTCCCCTCATGGCCACCACAGGCCGAGCTTTGTAGATGCCCTTGGCTCCACAGAGAATGGGCTGGCATCACCACTCTAAGATATCTCTTGTAACCAGATTTTCTGTGAGAACTGCACTGCATAATTGGAACATAAATTCTCTGCCAGGGACCTGAAATACAGGAATTCTGTGCTGGAAGTGAAAGGCAGAGTCCTGTGTTTCAGTAATCAAGGAGGCTTAAGTAAGGTTGGCCTTGTGTATGGCAGTATGAAGCCCACCCAGATATGTGCCTGAATAAAAGGCCACCCACTCTCACTGCAAAGATGGGCTAACCTGAAAATCTCAGAATTTGTGTGTATGTATGCACATAGATACACACAGATGCACATATTCTTTGAATAAAGCAAGACATAATATTTAAGTAGTCATTGTGGCCCAGAATGAGTCGGTTTTCTTAAGCATTCACCTATTTCTTTTCATTAGGTCAATGACAGCATTCAGAGGAGACAGCAAAGTTATAAAATTATTTGCAAAGCACATAAAGGTAAGCAGGGGCCTGTGATCCCCAAAGGCCTTTCCCAGACCTCAGCTGTTTCCTTTCAACCTCTTCTCCTAATCTCCTTAGCAAGTACTTACTGAGTTCCTTCCTTATGTAACATTTAACAGCTTTTCTGTTTCTTTTAATTCTGTCCTTCCGCATACCTACCCCTGCCCCCACCTACGGCAGTCGCTACTGCCATGCTCGGTCCCTGTATAGAGCTTGAGGTTTGACCCTTTGATTCCTTGAAGATTCACCAGTTTTCTAGGGATATGCTCATCTCTGCCCTAGAAGTTGACCCTGTACAAGGGTAGCTCCATTTGCATTTCACTTTCTTAACTTTGAGATAAAATGCTCTAAATGGGCATAAGATTGCACTTTCTTAATGACTTTTCCTTTTCTTCCCTTCTCTTTAATCTTGGAACAGGTCCAGGAGCAGGTAGAGTTGCTGGAGAAGCGTGTGGTACACCTGGGTGTAGGAACTCCAGGGAGAATTAAAGAGCTTGTTAAACAAGGTATGACGAGGACAGGGATACTCTTGCCCAGGGCTGGGAGTCTGCCTTACCCACACGTGAGTCTCAGAAGCTAAATCTGGGATATACAAAAACCAGATCTCTGAGTTAATTCAGGAATTGGAAACTCGGCCTTTAATCTCTGAAGCCAACCAGCAAGTACAACACAATAAGGAATGATAAGGACTGTGGCAAACTGAAATACGTGTACCCACCTGAACAGCCAACGTCCAGTTGCCATAAGCGGATAAGCAGGTTAATGGATCCGCATAGCGTTCATGCAGTGTCCAGCCGCTGCATGAGTTGAGCATTTCCCTCTTACTCCACTGAGTCTTGGGGAGGAGACTCCCATTTTGAGGGCTGGTAAAATAAAACAAAACGTAGTTTCCATGAATATAATGTAGGCATTGCATAATATTTCTTCCCAAATGCATTTCTCTTTTAGTGCTTTACAGAAAGTATTCCAAACAACACACACTGGCGGGTTTTTATAGTTTGCCAACCAGTAGCCTAAGAACTTGCTAACCTGCCGATGATCTAATTACCTCTTCTACCTACCAGGCAGATTTAATTACAATAGACCTTTTTTTAAATAACTGTCTGGAACTATTCTCAATAGCTTTTATATATCTAAAAGTAATGCGTTCATCAGTGTAGTAAATCATTGTAGAGATGGTCATGTAGCCACTAAAAGCTACAACTACTATTGTTTCTCTCCAGATGAAAACCATCCAGGGTTAGTTGAACCCACTATATGCAGAGTTGTGTATAAATACCAAGAAGTAACAATTTGGCTGCCCCTGACAAGGAAGGGAAACAACACTTTTGAGTTCCTACCTGTACGCAGTGACACACTTGACACCCTTACATATATTATCGCGTCTAGCACTCAAGGCATTCTTACAGGCTAGCCTTTTTCTTAGAGAGAGAACTGAAGCTCAGAGGGTTAAGTCGCCCTCCCCAAGGTCTATCAGTCCAAGCTTTCCTGGTTCTCCTGATCCAGCTGAAGAACTAAGTGTACATAGCCTGAGATCAACAACATGAGGCAGTCAATGCCAAGAGCCAAGTGAGCACTTCTAAGTCCTACAAGAGTTGAAATGAGAAAGAGATCGTTACGCTGGCCTGAATCTGCCGGGTCTTTAACTGATCTTTGAAGTGCGGGGGGGACTGAAATAGGCAGGGTGGGTCAGGGGAGCATTCATGAATGGGAGAACAGCCCAGTGAGATTCTCAGAAAGCAGGCATGTGATATACACACAGTATATCACAAGGAATTGATGGGGAGGCAAAACAGTGTTGCAGTGAAGAGCCCTGTGATGGACTCAGACCTCCAGATTCAAATCCCAGGTCCGGCAACTTCCCAACTCTGTGATCTTGGCAAGTTACTTAACCCTTCTCAGCCTGTTTCTTTGTGTGAATGACACAGATAGTAATAGCGGCTACTTCAAGGATTGTTATAAAAACAAAACGCCAATAAAGAGCTCACCACACTAAGTGTCACACCCTAAGCACTTAACAAATATTAGTTAGTTATTAAAGAGACCAACTTTCCTGCTTGGAGACTTCATGGGCTATAGTAGCAGGTGATTCAATTGGAAAGAAATTGAAGGGAAGTCCTTGAATGGTAAGCCAGGGAGCTTGGGTTTTTGTCTTGTGGACATCCTATGGCATTTGAAAGTTAAGGAACAGATCAGAGGCACCAGGCTTTCTATGAGACAGAGCTTTGGGAGTCATTGGCTGGGTATCAGGAGAGGCTAAGGATGGACTCTTGGGTTGGGTCCTGTTTCCTTAACAGCTTTTAGCTAAGGATTCACCACCAACCTCTTCTGGAATACAGATTTTTTTGTGTGTCACCAGACTCCCCCAGCCCCCATTCCATGCAACAATATGCTCCTCTGTATTTAAAAGAAAGAGAGGAAGAGAAAAAGCAAAGCTATCCAGACTACTGAAATCAGATCTCTACAGAGCTGTGAGACCTCAATATGAAGGCTTATTTCATGTGGAAAAATCATTTAAGGAGCTATTTTTTTTTTACAACATTAATGAAAATAATTTTTACTTCTGATTCTAATTGGATGGTTTAATATTCGTTAACCACAGGTATTTAGCTACATACAAAGTGTTTATAGAGAACAATCCCAGCACCCTAAAAGTGGAAAATCTAACAAAGTGATACCTAGCTGTTTATGACTTAACAAGCTGTTTATTTGTTTGATATATAAGGAGAGTTTCCAGACATCAAAAGATATCCCATGACACTAGGATGTGCACAATTACAGACAATTGTGTTGTTTTAATTTAGTAGTAAAGGAAATTTTCTGACTACAGGAGCCTTTGAAAAATGTAAAAATACACAGAGAAGAAAACAAGTCACTTTAGAGGCAATCTCTTGTTAATAATGAATAGATTTCCTTTCAGTCTTTTTTCTATACATCTATATGTTTATTTTTATACAAGAGAGATTGATTATACAACATCTCATAACTTTATAACCTACCTTTTTCACTTGCTGTATCTCATGAGGACTTACTTTCCTTGTCATGAAGCATGTTTAATTTTTTATTTGTACAGCTACACAATATTCTATTGTAATTTTTTTTTGCAATTCTATTATGGTAGACTTTGGGTTGTTTCTAAACTTTTGCTATTATAAATAATACGCAATGATCATTTTTGCAAGTAGCTATGTTTACATTTCTGATGTTTCACTGGGATATGTCATAGAAGGAAATTTATTTTATCAAATAAAAGCATTTTGGCTGGGCACTGTGACTCAGGCCTGTAATCCCAACACTTTGGGAGGCTGAGATGGGTGAATCACTTGAGGTCAGGAGTTTGAGATCAAATACAAGCATTTTGAAGCTGTTATTATATTATGCTCAGTTTCATTCCAGAAAGGCTGTACCTATTTGCTTTCCTGCCAGCAGTTAGGTTAAGGGAAGACTGATGATCAACTGATTGTCTTTACCTTTCACCATTTTAATTTTAATTTTGCAGAGTTTTTAATAACAGGCATTTGAATTATAAAAAGCATGAATAAGTATTGGGGTAAAGAGGAAAATATTTAAATACTACAGGGAATAGCTGAGGGAAGAGCCGCAGGAGAGGAAGGCTGCAGGTACTATTTTCACTAGGGACGTGGAACAGCTTGGAGCAGAGGCAAGAACTGACTGTATGCCCAACTGTGAGCCAGCTGAAGACTAGGCAATCCCCGAGGTCCCCTTCAGCCTTCACAGTCCATAATTGTCTTCTAGACAGACAGGAAAACAGAGAATGGAGTCATTAAGTGATTTACCAGCTTCATCAAAGGATAGCTCACTTTGAATAGAGCCCATTCATCTCAACTTCCTTTTCTGCCTAAAATGAACCTCGCAGCCCTGCCCGCATCTTTCTCCCCACTCACCTCCTCAGAGCCATGCAGACTCCATGGACTCAACTCCTCTGACAGGCAACCACCCCAGACTGTCGGATTGAGCTTAGCAAATGCCTGTCAGGAATGAGACTACGCCTCTGAGGCTTCATGAAATGGAGGCCTGGCCAGCGTGTGAGCATTTGAGGAGCTTAGGAAGAGCAGCTTCTCTGCTTTCCTCAGAAGGAGTGATAAGATGATAAGAAGAGCCAGTCTCAGAGTGGAGCATTTGTTTTCCATCAGGGAAGGGCGGCACTGAATGTACAGAGATTAGTTACTGGGGGAGAGGACAGCAAATGAGACAAAAAGCAACCCGGAGAATAAAAAATCATTGTAATAGGCTTATGTCATGAGGTCTTTACTGCAGCAGTTCTCTCCCTGTCTCTTTCAGGTGGCCTTAATTTGAACCCCTTAAAATTTCTGGTTTTTGACTGGAACTGGAGAGATCAGAAATTGAGGAGAATGATGGACATTCCCGAGGTACCACGTAACCAGCAGTTGCCTTTAATCATTTTTTTTCAATTTGAACTTGAGTTCAAACACAATAAGAAAGTCTTTGACATGAGGAGCCAGCACATTTTAGATTGTGAAATGATTTCTACCTTTTAACTCTGAGCTAACTATAATTATAGAGGCCGCCTCGTCCCCTTACACGTGGCTGTATCCTTTTCACATGTTTCATGAGAATCCGCTCTCTTGCTCCTTAAATGATCAATGGCCTCTCCTCACTAGGGACCATTTTGAGAAACAAGAAGATCTGAAGGACCTGCACTTTTCCCGTGCCTTTCTTTATACACACACTTGTCTTTGTCGTTCATTCTTACATGTGCACTTTTGGCTGGGCTTGGTGGAGCAGGGACACAAACTTGCCTCTGCTAGCATCTCCACATTCCCAAGAACCCACTTACTTAATTTAGAAAGATATTTTGGTTTCGTGGGGCGGGGAAATTTTTTGATGTCTCAGTGGATTAGAATTAAATGATTGAATGCCTTTATGGGCATAGCATTAACTCATTATATATTTCTAAAAGCAATCTATTATCATCATCATGTGAAAAACTGACTTTGCCACCTACCATGCTATTATGGGGCTAATTTAACAATCTAGCCTGATGCTTCACAGTAGCTGTTAGGAAAAAAAAGGGGTTACCAGTCACCAACCAAGAATAAATCATGGCAGTAACTATCAGAGAGGCTTAGAAATACTCCTTCAAACATCCTGAATGAATTAATTTATCACATAAAGCTGTGTGTCTAGATTGAGACCAAACCTGATTGTAATTGATCAGTGAGTTATTTCAGACCTCAGTTCAGGTTAAAAAACAATTTGTTCAGACACACACACACACACACACACACACACACACACACACACACAATTGTGCACTTGGCCCCTGAATTGACTGGTTTCTTAAAACTGGTTTAACAAATTTGATATCAGGCACGAGGCCATAGTTGATTATTTCGGTTATAATCTTAAATCTGACTAATCTACTATGTTTCTAATTCTAATAATGAGAAATGTCCAAAAACGTCTTGTCCTCCATAGTTACTTTTATTCTGTTGCTGTCATTCTTAGCAGTTATTCTAAGGCAATAAAATCCTATACTGAACTATTGTATAGAATCTTGTTTACAGAAAGCACACTGTGGAATCCTTGAAAAACCTTTGCATAGCATTTTATTTTGAATGTCTACAAAAAAAGGGCACTTTAATGAAACTGATGTTTTATATAGTACTTCTTCCTTCAATTATGTAAATATTTTAATTCTGACAGGCATGGTGGCTCATACCTGTAATCCTAGACCTTTGGGAGGCTGAGGTGGGAGGATTACTTGAAGCCACGAGTTGGAGACAAGCCTGGGCAACAAAGCAAGACCCTGTCTCTACAAAATAATAACAATAATAGGCCAGGCACAGTGGCTCACACCTGTAAACCCAGCATCTTGGGAGGCCAAGGCAGGTGAATCACTTGAGGCCAAGAGTTCAAGACCAGCCTAGCCAACATGGCGAAACCCTGTCTCTACTAAAAATACAAAAATTAGCCAGGTGTTGTGGTGCAGGCCTCTAATCCCAGCTACTCAGGAGGCCGAAGCATGAGAATCACCTGAACGCAGAAGGCAGAGATAACAGCTAAGATCGTGTCACTGCACTCCAGCACAGGAAACAGAATGAGACTCTGTCTCGGAATAATAATAATAATAATTTTTTTTTTTAAATTTCCACTGTGAATCAAATGTGTGTTAGGACTTTTGCCCTCTGTGATTCTGGCCATAACAATTGGGTAAATATTAGGGAGTCCTGATGGTTGAATTTATTCACCAAGACCATTCTAGCTTGACCTTAATCTTTTTTTTTTTTTTTACTTTTCTCTCGTTTAGATAAGAAAGGAGGTATTCGAACTTCTGGAAATGGGAGTGCTCAGTCTGTGCAAGTCAGAATCTTTGAAACTGGGCCTTTTTTAAGTCTGGATCCTAATGAAGATCCCAGTTTCCACAGTAGAAGTTGCATCTTATTTAATGACTCTGATACATTGCGAGAACCCAATAAATAGCAGCAAATAGTTTATGTTAAGTGTGTCAGCAGATGGATCACTGGAATGAGGGGATTTCTGAAACAGAAATGAATCTGTCCTTTAGACAACTCTCTTATATAATAAAATATCACTGGCTTGTGTGTGATTTTTGTTGAGCCGGCTGATTTTTTTTTCTCTCCCCAACTGGCTTCTGATGTAACTGTGCAGGAGAAAGGGAAGAGCAGCTGTGTAACCTTAGGCAAGCCCTTACCTCTTGAGGCCCATCTCATCAGCTCAAAGTGGGAATGTCTCATACAGCATTGTTGAGGACTCCAAGAGATGGTACATGGGGAACAGATTTGTAAACTGAGGCATGGTCCCAGCAAAAGGGGTGGCAGATATGTTAGTCCATTCTCACATTGCTATAAAGAACTACCTGAGACTGGGTAGTTTATAAAGAAAAGAGGTTTAGGCTGGGTACAGTGGCTCATGCCTGAAATACCAGCACTTTGGCAGGCCGAGGAAGGTGGATCACGAGTTCAGGAGTTCGAGACCAGCCTGGCCAAATGGTTAAACCCCATTTCTACTAAAAATACAAAAATTAGCTGGGCATGGTGGTAGGTGCCTGTAATCCCAGCTATTTGGGAGACTGAGGCAGGAGAATAGCTTCAACCCAGGAGGCAGAAGTTGCAGTGAGTCGTACTCCAGCCTGGGTGAAAAGAGTGAAATTCTGTCTCAAAAAAAAGGTGGGCAGGGGAGTTGTTAATTGACTCACAGTTTCACAGGCTGTATATTGGCCATGGCTGGGAGGCCTCAGGAAACTTACTACAGCAGAAGGTGAAGGGGAAGCAAGTACATCTTCACATGGTGATGAGACGGCAAGATAGCAAAGGGGAAATGCTATACACTTTTAAACTACTAGATCTTGAGAGAACTCACTCCCTGTCCTGAGAACAACAAAGGGGAAATCTGTCCCCATGATCCAATCACTTCCCACCAGGTCCCTCCCCCAACATTGGGAATTGCAATTCAACATGAGATTTGTGTGGAGACACAGAGCCAAACCATGTCATTCCACCCCTGACCCCTCCCAAACCTCATGTCCTCTTCACATTTCAAAACACAATCATGCTTTCCCAACAGTCCCCCAAAGTCTTAACTCATTCTAGCATTATCTCAAAAGTCCAAGTCCAAAGTCTCATCTCAGACAAGGCAAGTCCCTTCCACCTATGAGCCTGTAAAATCAAAAACAAGTTACTTCCAAGATACAATGGAGGTAACAGGCATTGCATAAATTCTCCCTTTCAAAGTGAGAGAAACTGGCCCAAACAAAGAAGCTACATGCCCCAAGCAAGTTCGAAACCCATCAGGGCACTCATTAAATCTTAAAGCTCCAAAATGATCTTTGACTCCATGTCTCACATCCAGGCCATGCTGATGCAAGGAGTGGGCTCCCAACGTCTTGGGCAACTCTGCCTCTGTGGCTCTGCAGGGTACAGTCCCCATGGTTGCTTTCGTAGGCTGGTGTTGAGTGCCTGCAGTATATCCAGGTACACTGTGTAAGTTGTCGATGGATCTACCTACCATTCTGGGGTTTAGAGGACAGTGGCCCTCTTCTTACAGCTCCACTAGGCAGTACCCCAGTGGAGACTCTGTAGATGGGGGGTCCAACAGGAAATACTGAGTATTTCTCCACATTTCCTCTCAGTATTTCTCCACATTTTCTCTCTGCACTGCTCCTTAGAGGTAGAGGTTCTCCATGAGGGCTCACCCCTGTAGCAAACTTCTGCCTGGACATCCAGGCATTTTTATATATCCTCTGAAATTGAGGCAAAGGCTCCTAAACCTCAACTCTTGCATTATGCACACCCATAAGCCCAACAACACATGGAAGCTGCCAAGGAGTGGGGCTTAAACCCCAATGAAGCAATTATTTGAGCTGTACCTTGGCCCCTTTTAGCCACAGCTGAAGCTGGAGCAGCTGGGAAGTAGAGTGTCATGTACCAAGTCTGCACAGAGTAGCTGGGTCCCGGGCCTAGCCCACAAAACCATTTTTCCCTCCTAGGCCTCTGGGCCTGTGGTGGTGGCTCTGCCACAAAGGTCTCTAAAATGTCCTGGAGGCATTTTCTCCATTGTTTTGGCTATTAACATTTGGCTCCTCTTTACTTATGCAGATTTCTGCAGCTGGCTTGAATTTTTCTTCAGAAAATGGGTTTTTCTTTTCTACTACATGGTCAGGCTACAAATTTTCCAAACTTTTATGCTCTGCTTCACTTTTAAATATAAGTTCTCTGTGTTTGTGCAAATGAACATAGGCTTTTAGAAGCAGCCAGATCATCTCTTGAACACTCTGCTGCTTAGAAATTTCTTCTGTCAGGTAAAATGTGGCACATATACACCATGGAATACTATGCAGCCATAAAAAATGATGAGTTTGTGTCCTTTGTAGGGACATGGATGAACCTGAAAACCATCATTCTCAGCAAACTGACACAGAACAGAAAATCAAACACTGCATGTTCTCACTCATAGGTGGATGTTGAACAATTAAAACACATGGACACAGGGAGGGGAGCAACACATACTGGGTTTTCTGGGGGGAAACTAGGGGAGGGACAGTGGGGGATGGGGAGTTGGGAGGGATAACATGGGGAGAAATGCCAGATATAGGTGATGGGGAGGAAGGCAGCAAACCACATTGCCATGTATGTACCTATGCAACAATCCTGCATGTTCTTCACATGTATCCCAAAACCTAAAGCACAATAAAATATATATATATGAGAAATTTATATATATATATAAAGAAAGAAATTTTTTCTGTCAGATACCCTAAGCCATCTCTCCCAAGTTCAAAGTTACACAGATCCCTAGAGCATGAGCACAATGCCACCAGTCTCTTTGCTAAAGCATAGCAAGAGCGACCTTTACGCCAGTTCCCAATAAGTTCCTCATCTCCATCTGAGACCACCTCAGCCTGGAGTTCATTATCCATATCACTATCAGCATTTTGGTCAAAACCATTCAACAAGTCTCTAGGAAGTTCCAAACTTTCCCTCATCTTCCTGTCTTCTTCCCTCCAAACTATTCTGACTTCTGCCCATTACCCAGTTTTAAGGTTGCTTCCACATTTTTAGTTATCTTTTTAGCAATATCTCACTTCTCTGGTATCAATTTTGTGTATTCTTCCATTTTCACACTGCTATAAAGAACTACCTGAGACTGGGTAGTTTATAATGAAAAGAGGGTTAATTGACTTCCAGTTCCACAGCCTGTACAGGAAGATAGCTAGGGAGGCCTCAGGAAACTTACAATCATGGCAAAAGCTGAAAGGGAAACAAGCACATCTTCACATGGTGACAAGACAGTGAGAGAGTAAAGGGGAAGTGCTACACACTTTTAAACAACCAGATCTTGTGAGAACTCACTCACTATCATGAGAGTGGCAAGGGGGAAATCTGCCCCCATGATCCAATCACCTCCCACCAGGTCCCTCCCCCAACACTGGGAATTCCAATTCGACATGAGATTTGGGTGGGGACACAGAGCGAAACGATATCAGCAGGGTAGTGGAAAAAAGAGCATCAGGTGAATTTGGCACTTTGTAAATGTATGAAAGGACAACAATATAACTACAGCTGTCTTACTCATTTACTTTGTTTAAAACTTTCTATTTTGAAACTTCAGACTTTTTTTTTTTAATGTGTAAACTACTTTATTTTTTTTCCCATTTATTTATTTTATTGCATTTTAGGTTTTGGGGTACATGTGAAGAACATGCAAAATTGTTGCATAGGTACACACGTGGCAGTGTGATTTGCTGCCTTCCTCCCCATCACCTACATCTGGCATCTCTCCCCTTGCTATCTCTCCCCAGCTCCCCACCCCCCACCGTCCCTCCCCTATTTCCCCCCAACTGACCCCAGTGTGTAGTGCTCCCCTCCCTGTGTCCATGTGTTCTCATTGTTCAACACCCACCTATGAGTGAGAACATGCGGTGTTTGATCTTCTGCTCTTCTGTCAGTTTGCTGAGAATGATGGTTTCCAGGTTCATCCATGTCCCTACAAAGGACCCAAACTCATCGTTTTTGATGGCTGCATAATATTCCATAGTGTATATGTGCCACATTTTCCCTATCCAGTCTATTGTCGATGGGCATTTGGGTTGGTTCCAGGTCTTTGCTATTGTAAACAGTGCTGCAATGAACATTCGTGTGCACGTGTCCTTATAGTAGAACGATTTATAATCCTTTGGATATATACCCAGTAATGGGATTGCTGGGTCAAATGGAATTTCTATTTCTCGGTCCTTGAGGAATCGCCACATTGTCTTCCACAATGGTTGAACTAATTTACACTCCCACCAACAGTGCAAAAGTGTTCCTATTTCTCCACATCCTCTCCAGCATCTGTTGTCTCCAGATTTTTTAATGATCGCCATTCTAACTGGCGTGAGATGGTATCTCAATGTGGTTTTGATTTGCATTTCTCTGATGACCAGTGATGATGAGCATTTTTTCATATGTTTGTTGGCCTCATGTATGTCTTCTTTTGTAAAGTGTCTGTTCATATCCTTTGCCCACTTTTGAATGGGGTTGTTAGTTTTTTTTTTGTAAATCTGTTTTAGTTCTTTGTAAATTCTGGATATCAGCCCTTTGTCAGATGGGTAAACTGCAAAAATTTTTTTCCCATTCTGTTGGTTGCCGATTCACTCTAATGATTGTTTCTTTTGCCGTGCAGAAGCTGTGGAGTTTGATTAGGTCCCATTTGTCTATTTTGGCTTTTGTTGTCAATGCTTTTGGTGTTTTGGTCATGAAGTCTTTGCCTACACCTATGTCCTGAATGGTTTTGCCTAGATTTTCTTCTAGGGTTTTTATGGTGTTAGGTCTTATGTTTAAGTCTTTAATCCATCTGGAGTTAATTTTAGTGTAAGGTGTCAGGAAGGGGTCCAGTTTCTGCTTTCTGCACATGGCTAGCCAGCTTCCCCAACACCATTTATTGAACAGGGAATCCTTTCCCCATTGCTTGTTTTTGTCTGGTTTGTCAAAGATCAGATGGTTGTAGATCTGTTGTGTTGCCTCTGAGACCTCTGTTCTGTTCCATTGGTCTATATCTCTGTTTTGGTACCAGTACCATGCTGTTTTGATTACTGTAGCCTTGTAGTAT